TTTAATATGAGTGGAATTTGAATATATTTACCTTATCACACTCAGTAACTTCACAAGCTGCCTGTAGATAAAGAGTATATATATCACACATAAAGGAGGAATCTCACACATCCTGAAGGAGATTTAGATCTCTCTCTCTCTCTCTCTCTCTCTCTCTCTCTCTCTCGTCTCTCTTTCTCTCCCTCTCCTCTCTCTCTTTCTCTCTCCAGTTGGAACGGCTTCTCACAGGTGTAATAAAATCACCTGTGTAATTTACTTTCTCAGTCCAGTGAAAAGTCACCTCCTTGGTGATGCTTCATGACACCATCAATGTATTTCCAAGAGAAGTACACATGATGTACCTTTATCACCCAGAAATTCCAGGGATGGTTTTGTCAGGGACTGCAAAACCTCCTTAGGAATTTAAATGAACATAGCTAGAACTGTTTGCATGACTCAAAAAACAAGGTATATTCCTGTTAATCATCTACTAGTCAATGTGTCCTTTTCCCCGCGCTGCTAGTTGGAGATAGTCTTGTGACCTTTGTGCTGTCTTGTTAATCTTAAAATTTGAAGTTTCGCTGTTTCTTCAATAAAAGTCTTAAACAAAACAACTTAAAAAATGTTCTCTAACTTTCCACACAAAACAACATGCTCATAGACAACATTGATTTACATCTACCATTGTAAGACAGATGTTTGGGACATTCTATTTTCAATGCCACAAAATGGGAAGCATATGCCTATTATAACCATTTCCTAATTCTTTGCAACACCAGATTTACAGCAGAAAACGATTGTTTTTCCACAGAAATCTCTGAGTATATGTATCTATCACCTATATGCTTTAACTCTTTTGCATACTATATTGCTAAATAGTCTTAGATCTCTACATAGAGGAAATAATTTCCTTGGACAGAACGCACAAGATGTTCAGAGTTTTCTCCTCCATTTTTTTTTCCTGACCTTCTTCAAAATTTGCATTTTTCTCAGCAGAAATCACTCCTCCTCATGTGATGACAGAAATTTAGGTCAGAAAGCTGGTAAATAGCAAGATTTTTCCTCAATAACTCATTTTTCAGCTATTATACACACAGTGCAGTATTGTGTAATAGATACAGAATGGCTCTGAAATCCAACAGCCTTGAAGAAATCTTGGTTCCATAATTTTTTACTAGCTGTGTAACATTCAGCAAATTACTTAACCTTTCTGTGCTTCAGTCCTTTCCTTGGTAAAATAGTGGTGCCCACCTCAGAGTGCTGTGAGCTTTTTAAATGAGAGAAATACTGGTAAACCACTTGTACCCATGCCTGGAATACATAAGTACATCTTAGCTGTTAGAACTCTCTATGGCACAGAAAAGGTACTCTATTTTATTCATTTTACTAATATTTTAAATTACTGGAAAATGAAGACATATGATAATTGTGATTAAATAAAGAAGAAGAAGACTAGTATTCGGGAATGAGTGAAGGTTTAAGGCTGAATAAATCTGAATATGGACTTTCATTCTGACACTTGGTGTTGTGTAACTAACCTTGGGCTATTTGTTTAATCCCCAATTTCCTCATGTATTAAATAGTTACCTTACATATTTATTATTAAAATAAGAGAATATATGTCAAAGACTTAGTATGTAATAAGTACTAAATAAATGGAAAGATGTTAGGGCTTTTGGCATTAAGTTTCTTGCTATACTTCTTAAGTATATGCTTACCACAAATGCAAGTCTGTATGTATAAAAAAAAAAAGAGAGAGAGAGAAAGAGAGAGGGAAAGGGAGGGAGAAAGAGAAAAAGAACAGAAGGAAAGGAAGGAAGGAAGGAAGGAAGGAAGGAAGGAAGGAAGGAAACAAAGAAAGAGAGAGAAAAAGAAAGAAAGAAAGAAAGAAAGAAAGAAAGAAAGAAAGAAAGAAAGGAAGGAAGGAAGGAAAAAGAAAGAAAGAGAAAGAGAGAGAATAGCTATAAAGCAAAGCTTACTGCTTTATCTCGTTCCTAAGTTGTTAGGGAAAAAATAAACCCTGAAAATTTTAAGAAGAGAGTGTTGACTGTTTTTTATTACTGTATGAAACAAAATATTGGAAGTTTGTTCTCATTTGTAGCACACATAGATGTTGAATTGTAACATCTTTAGTAGATTTTCTGCTGGATTTAGAGAGAAACTTTAGATAATATATTTATCAATTTAAAACAATGAGTGAAAAACTACAGATGCATAAGATGTATTCCCAGATGTCAACATTGTTATTTTTAAAACTGAACTTTTAGTGCCTTTAAAAGGCTATTTTCTGAATTTTGGCAGAATAAAATCCAAACTTCCCAGCCAAATAAGCATCAAAGAACTCCACAGAAAAAGAGTCAGTATTCTCCGTTCATAACCAATCTCATAGCCAGTCTTCAAACTTTGTTATTAAAATGCTAAAATACCTGCAAAATTATTATCACTTCATGAGCTAGAATTCACAATGATGTAAGTAACAGAAAACTCAGCTAACAGTGATTAAACATGCATTTTTCTCACATTAAAAAAATCATAAAGAAGATGCTTCTGTTATTGGGTCAGTGGTTCAATGATTTCATCCCTCTTGTCTCTGAATCTTTCAACCTTTCCCTCATGAATGATTATCTAATGATCAAAAGATGACTCTTAGATTAGTAAAGAGCATGTCCAAGTTCATGATAGGAAAAAGGAGTGATTGGCAATTCCAGCTGTCTTCCTCTTTCATCAAACAACAGCAGCAACAACAAAAACAACAACAAAGCCTTCCTAGAGACTCGAGAAGGATTCTTAAAAAGTAGGAGAGGTATTTAATTTTCCATCCTCTAAAATGGAAATGACAAGAGAAAATGGGTGTATGAATGTCTGTTGAGTTAACAAACAATGTTTGACACACCATTGAGAAGCTGCTTGTTCGAAAGTCCGCAGTCGACTAGATAGAACCGTTACCTACATTAATTTTCCTGCCCTTAGAAGATGCCATTTTCTAATTTTGCTTTCAATGTATTTGAATTTTAATATTAGTTCAGTCAACCTTTTTTCCTAAAAGGAAATTAATTCCATTAATGCTAGATCTGATATCAGGTGTTGAATAGTTTGGCTTGTTGTTGTGTTATTGTTTCTAGCAGGGCTGAAAATATTCTCTTTGGTAGCAGTGTTTATTGCTTGGCATGTGATGGTTTTGCACTGCTGAATCCATACATAAATTATTTTACAGATAGGGAGGTAAAACATGTGTTCTTATTGTCAAATTCTTAGCCTAATGTTTTCAAAATAATTCTCCAAGAGTTCTGGAGTCTCACATAATTTCAACATGCAACACTAATTTTTCTTTCCCTTTTATGAAATCAGTAGACCATTAAAACTATTTAGTGATATTCATCCCATCTGGGAACATTGGAGTGACATTTGCTTTGGCTTTTCCTACATTTTTTTTTTCATAGGTTGATCATTTTTGCCAAGCTACCACCTTATATTAATATATTTTAGAGGCATTGTTTTTCTTTCTCTTTCTCTTTCTCTTTCTCTTTCTCTTTCTCTTTCTCTCTCTCTCTCTCTCTCTCTCTCTCTCTTTCTCTTTCTCTTTCTCTTTCTCTTTCCCTCCCTTTCTCTTTTGAGAAGAACCAATACAATGTCATTCTTTTTTGGAAAGAAGAAAAGTTTACAGCACATTTTGAGTAAATTAGTGTAAAGAAAGGCTCAGTGGGCTGACTGGTAGAACACCAGCTTATAATGGAGTCCACAGCTAGGGCATCACTGGGTCTCACCTTTGTGCAACTTGACCCAGATGATAGCACTGTTGTCCTCTTCGCACATACAGCCCACTATTTGATTATTGGTGACAGAAGGAACAATATTAGGGTCTTCCTTGGTGCCCAACACGGTCTTTGGGGCTAGTATATTTTATGGGTCCAGTCCCCTCCATGCAACCATCATGGCCTCCCATTTCCAGCCCAGTCACCTGTTCATCATCAGTAGGAACACCACTTCCAGATGCCTTGGAACACACAACAGTGACTCCATTGGGACTGTGGGCCCTGAGGGCCTGCACGAACAGCGCTCCAACTCCATGACTTAATCCTGAAGTGATCACACCAACTACAAATAGCTAGAGGAATTGTTTCTTAATCAGTGGGGTAGCAAGGGTAAATCATGGATGTTCAGCTCCAAATGCATGCAGCAAGGAATTCATCCCTTGTGGTTATTTTAAAATCAGTAATAAAATTGATCAAAATTGGCCTGCTTTTTATTACCACCATGTGTTGGCAGTTCTAGACAATGTGTGATGAAATATTCCTTCCTATCTGTTAGGGTAAACCACCATGATCCCACCTCCTCACTTCTGGTATGCACTGCTTCATAGTTTAGATTTTTCCCTTTCAAATAAATTAACAGTTTAAGGTTTTAAAAGGCAAACAATGCCTGAAATATGTTATGTGGATGAAAATTCTGGGCATTTTTTCCTGGTTTTATCATCTTGATTATAATCATGGCATCATCACTTGATTGAAAACAAAAGATGAACAAATAAATGAATAATATTTAAATTAAATGAAAATTGGATGTAAAGTTACAACTGTAACAACAGTAGAATTTGACTACTCTCTGCAGCATATTTCTGCTTTTCAATACAATTCCTTTTCCAAAATAGAAGAAAAAGAAAAGAAAACCCAAAACTAAAGTTATATTTATTGCAGTGTTTCTTACATCCAAGTGGATATCTCCAACTTTATATTTCTATTTGGTTTGGGGGTTAAATATGGAATATAGGGGGAAAGAACAGCATACAACAAATCCTTTCCATTTGAAGAATTGTATATAATGGATTTGATTCTGTAAAAATGTGAAGTACCAATTGTTACATGCTTGCCAGCATTTCAATCTTTGTTTTTCCTTAACATTGAGGTTTTTTTGTTTTTTGGGTTTTTTTTTGTTTTGTTTTGTTTTGTGTTTTGTTTTTTTTTTGTTTTCAGGTAACAAAATGAAATGATTCTTCACATCATTGTAATCCTTTATTCCTCCAGGCATTTTTGGACAGAAACTTGAAGACACTGTCCGTTATGAGAAGAGATATGGGAACCGTCTGGCTCCAATGTTGGTGGAGCAGTGTGTGGACTTTATCCGACAAAGGGGGCTGAAGGAAGAGGGTCTGTTCCGACTGCCAGGCCAGGCTAACCTCGTTAAGGAGCTCCAGGATGCCTTTGACTGTGGAGAGAAGCCATCATTTGACAGGTAGCTTTCAAGATTTTCCTAATCATCCTTCACTGAGAAATCCAAACCGAACAGAAGAGATGCAATGAGCTGAGAGGATATAACCTTAATGGATGTTGTAATAGTTTAGAATATGGATTTTATAGCCACACAAGGGTCGATTGTTTTTATTAATTTACAGAGTCAAAAATTTGACACTTTAGATGTCTTTCTCTTCCATACTTTTTGTCCCCCTTAAAACATTATTTATTCTTTTCCTTTGGAACTAAATTAACACTCTATTAAGCTTTTGCATCAGAAAAGTGAATTTTTAAAATAGGAGTCTTTCCTGTTCAGTGTCTTCCTAATTCTCTCAGCTAAGAGATATTAAACGTATTAATAAGCAGAGATCGGGATATTAGCAATGTAGTTACAATAACTGTTTTTAATAATAATGAAAGCATCATGTTTTTAAATATATAGCTCCACCTTAATCTAGAATAGATTTATAAGGAAACAAGAAACATATAGCATGATGAAATTCAGGAAATAATGAAAGTTCCAGAAAAGAAAATATAAAGCATCCATAACTCCACTAAGAATTAAACACTTATGATAATATTTGATAAATTACCTCCTTCTCTTCACTTTTTTTAATTTAGTAGAAAATAATATTTTTTCTCCTAATATTATTAATGTAGTATAGTATAGCTGATATTTTCATATTAATATTTGAAATATCCCCAACATTCTAGTATAGTTTAACCTAATGTTTGATGATTGGCAACCTCTATAAGCATAATTTTTCACATCTAATATTTCATTCTACATGTATATTATTCATAATTATTTCAACAATTTGGATATTTATATGATCACTTTTATCACTTATATCACTTATATTTATATTATAAATAGTGTTGTAGGGGGTATACATTCACGTTAGTATTTTCTATATTTTGATAATTTCCTCAGGGGAGGTTCTCAGTATTAGACTTTGTAGATAAGAACAGTCATATTATTTGAAAACTGACAATTGCATACTATTATTTCTTTGAAATCATAGAATTAGCACATGGATAGAGCCAGATCTACAGAACAAGTAGACAAGAAGACACTTGAATACATGATACGAGACAAAGGGAGCATTATTGAAATATGGGCTTTTGCTAATAATCTAAGAAATGCACATTAAATCATTTAATGTCCTCCCACTAATCACATTAACAAAATCTTGAACAATGATAATACTCAGTACTGGCAAGGTGTGTTAAGGTAGGCACTCTGATGGCGAGAGAGCAAATTGTTGTAGTCTTTCTAAAGAAATTTGATGATATATTTCAAGACCGTTTTAGCAAGATATTCTAGTCTTAGAAAAAAATCAGATCTGTGGAAAAAAACAAGTATAAAGTTGCTTATTACAATTTTTATAATAGTAAAAAATGAACACCAATCCATTATCTCCAGAAGTAGAGTATGGTCAATTAAATAATACTGCATTAATATAACAAAATGTTATACAATTATGAAAGTTTTAGAAAAATGCTAATTATAAAATAATAAGTGGAAATGATAAATGGAAAAATAAGACAGGATCAATTAATTGATTAAAATCCTACCTGTTTACAGAAGTATTACAGTTTATAGACATTCATAAATTATCTCTGAGAGATAAAAATTAAATGTGGAGGCAAATAAATGAATTCAAAACCAAAATCAGAGAACAAATTTCAAGAATACAGATATACTTTTGGCAGGGGTGCCCAATGTCTTATTCTATACTTTGAAAAACAACACTAAATAATAGTTGCAAATTCAAGTCTATTCACAGGATATACACAATGGTTTATCTAGAAGAAATGTAATTTTTTAGCTTCAAAATTAAAAGAAATTTGTCAGTGGGATCCTCATAATAAAATATCATATAATGGGATAAATAAAACCTTTTACCATAAACTTCATGTGACATTGATAAATTTCAATGGCTTTTTCTTATATATGGCCAAAAACCACAGATGACATTATAGAAAAGTATATTTACTAAAAATTATTTTGCTATAGGCATTTATGCTTTTGGTTCTTATAACAAGATTCTCACTAATAAGAAAGAATGGAAGGATATTTTATAAATTTTAGGATACCTGTAAGAAAAGGTATGCTCTATGAGCAATTATCTCCAAATCAGGTTCTTAATTATCTCCAAATCAGGTTCTCAATAGCTGAGCTGACAGTGAAATATTGTGCAATCTTCATGTAAAATATTATCTCACTTATAAAAAGTATTTTTTGTATAAAATGCACTAATGCATAAACAGACTGAGGAAAATGTGACAAAAGATGAACATTGATTTTGTGGGATAATGACTTTTTTTTAAATATTGTGATTCCAGTAAGCACCGTTTTACAATCAGAAATTTAACCTGAACGGTCTTTTAATTACCTGTTGATATCATGCTGCATAAAAATGTCCTTAGCTTTTAACTTCTAAAGAGTAATTATGGAAGCTACCTGTCAACTAGAAAAGCTATAGAAGAGAATTGCATAGAGTATTTCAATGTTAGCACAATACGGTAATGTTGCTAGCATCTTAGGAGGAAAAGGAGAGTGTCATTCATTTGCTCAGTCATTCAGTGTTTCCGGTTTCTACACTTGTATAACAAACCACCCCCAAACTTTGTGACTTAAGTAATAACAGCTGGTTATTGCTCATGGTTCTGTACTTTGGGCAGGAGTTGGCCAGGATGTGCTCATTTTTCCTGCACATGATGTTGATTCATGGAGATCAGTTAGGTCTGAAGGATACAAGATGGTTCTACTCAGATGTGCAGAGCCTTGTCTGACATGGCTAACATGGCTGAAGTCCACTTGGGCCTTTCTCTCTCCCTCTATCTCTCTCTGTAAATCTCACATCTATTATTAGAGCTGCTCTTTATATGTATGGCCTTTACCTCTAGCCGATTAGTCAGACCTATTGACATGATACCTCAGGGTTCCAAGAAAATAAAAATGGCAGTTTGTAAGCCTCACAAGGGCTGGGTCCATATGACACTGTGTGACTTCTGGTGTAGTCTCTTGGTCAAAGCGAGTCACAAAACAGGCCAGCCTACATTTGAGGAGAAGGAAAATAAACACCATTTGATGGAAAGAGGGGTAAGCACATACAGAGAAGGAAGGATTTGTAGGAGGCTATTTTGAGAGAAAATCACTATAGCTTTAAAGTCTTGAGGGATACCTGGGTGGCTCAGTCCATTAAGCGTCTGACTTTGGCTCAGGTCATGATCTCATGGTTCGTGAGTTTGAGCCCCTCATCGGGCTCTGTAATGACAGCTCGGAGCCTGGAGCCTGCTTGGGATTCTATGTTTCCCTCTCTCTCAGCCTCTCCCCTGCCAGTGCTCTCTCTCGCTCTCTCTCTCTCACTCTCTCTCTCTCTCTCAAGAATAAAGATTAAAATTTAACAAAATCTTGAAATCAAGTGGAACAAATCCCCTAATTTTGTTCTTTTTCAAATTTGTTTTGCCTATTCTAGGTCATTTACATCTTCATTTTAAAAAGATAAAGAAATTTAGCATATGCTTGTCAATGTCTACAAAAAAAAGTATGTTAGGATTTTGACTGAAATTTTATTGAATCCAGAAATCAACTGGGAGAAAATTGACATCTTAAAACTATGAAATCTTCTAATCCATAAAAATGGCCAATCTCTCCATTTCACTAGGACTTTTTGTATTTCAGCAACATTTTGTATTTTTTGATGTAAGATCTTGCTCCATTTTGTTAAATTTATCCTCAAGTATTTGCTATTTATAGATGCTCCTGTAAATAGTATTATTTTTAATATTTAATATTATAATTGCTCACTGCTAGATTATCCAAATACAATTGATTTTTTTATGTATAGATTTTTGTCCTACCAACTTGGCAAGTTCATTTATTAGTGCTAGCAGGATTTTTGTAGATCGCTTAGGATTTTCTACATACATAATCTTATTGACTGTACATAATGAGAGTTTTATTTCTTCCTTTGCAATATGTAGGCCTTGTATTTCTTTTTCTCACCTGCTTGTACTTGCTAAGAATTCATCTACCATAATAGTAGGTATACATACTCTTTTTGTATGTAGACGGAAGTTTTCAGTCTTTCACTACTATGTGTGAATGGTAGCTATAGGTTTTTTCCTGATGACCTTTATGAAGTTAGAAAATGTCCTTTTATTTCCACTTTGGCTACAATTTTAATAACAAATGAGGATCATATTTTATAAAATCCATTTATTACAGAAATTATCTGATTCTTCCCTTTTGTTATGTTAATGTCCTGAATTACATTAATCTATTTTTGAATGTTAAACCAACTTTACATTGCTAGGATAAGCCACATTTGGTTATGATGCATTACCCTATCTGACTTGCAAATAATTTGTTAAGGATTTGAGGACCTATATTCATCAAGGGTTTTGACCTGTAGATTTCTTATAGTATCTTTGACTAGTTTTGTTATCAGAGAAATTCTGGTCCCCATATTAGTTGGAAAGTGTCCCCCCACCTCTATTTTCTGAAAGAGTATGTGTGTTTTGTATTATTCCCTCCATAAATATTTGGTAAAATTTACCAGTGATGTCATCTAGTCCTGACGTTGTCTTTGTGGGGAGGTTTTTAGAGATGGCTTTTCTTGGGGTGACTGGATGGCTCAGTTGATTAAGCGTCCAACTTTGGCTCAGGTCATGATGTCACAGTTTGTGAATTCGAGGCCCGTGTCAGGCTTTGTGCTGACAGCTCAAAGCCTGGAGCCTGCTTCAGATTTCATATCTCTCTCTCTCTGCCCCTCCCACCCCTCTCCCCTCCCCCCACCTCTGCTCACACTCTGCCTCTCAAAAATAAATAAACATTAAAAAAATTAAAAAAAAAAGAGATGGGGGTACCTGGGTGGCTCAGTCAGTTGAGCCCCTGACTTCAGTTCAGGTAATGATCTCACAGCTTGTGGGTTCCAGCCCCACGTCAGACTCTGCTGACAGCTCAGAGCCTGGAGCCTGCTTTGGATTCTG